AAATGCTATCAAAGATGAGGAGAAAGACAAACTCTTATACACTATTTGTGGGAATGTAAATTTCTAACCACTATGGAAAACAGTATGCAGATTTTTTAAAAAACTAGAATAGAACTGCCATAGGAATGTCAATACTGGCTATATATCCAAAAGACATAAATTACAGTATCAAAGAGATACCTGCTCCACTTTTTTAAAAAAAAGATTTATTTAATTTATTTGAAAGGCAGAGCTATAGAGAGAGAGAGGGAGAGACAGAGAAAGATGTTCTACTCCCCAAAGGGTCCCAATGTCTAGTGCTGGGCCAGGCCAAAGCCAGGAGCCAGGAGCTTCTTCCTGGTCTTCCACATGTGTGCAGAAGCCCAAGCACTTGGGCCATCTTCCAATGCTTTCCCAGACCTTTAGCAGGGAGCTGGATGGGAAGTGGCGCTCCACCAGTTACCCACGTGGTATGCTGGAGGCGGTGGCTTTACTCACTACGCCACAAGCCGGCTCCTCCCTGCTGCATTTAATTGTGGTGCTGCTCACTACAGCTAAGATATGGAATCAATCAAGGTGCCCATCATCAGATGAATGGATAAAGAATGCTACATATAAACAAAAGAATATTCAGCCATAAAAAAATGAAATCGTGTCATTCCCAGCAAAATGGACAGAACTAAAGACACAGAAAGACAAATATCACATGTTTTTCCCTTATATGTGGATGCTAAAACACAAATCAAAAAATAAAACATCTGTCTGAAGAGTAATTACTAGAGATTGGGAGGAGTAGAGATAGGAGTTTAGATAATGGGTACCAAATTGGAGTTCAATTGAAGGGATAAATTCCTAGTTGTACATAGCATAGTAGGGAGACTATGTTTTTTGTTTTTACTATATAATAGTAATATTATATGAAAAAATAGAAGAAAGATGCTCCAATCATAAACTAACATCAAAGAAGGGGAAGTACACTTTGTTTACATACATTGAAAATATGGATATACATGCATTGAAATGTCATACTGTAACCCATAATTATGTACAATTATTGTTAATAAAAATTTTTAAAAGAAAAAGGAAACTTACTTAACCAAGTAAACAATAGGAAAGGCATAAAAATGTCATACACATCATACAAACACACCAAAACATTAAGATCACCCTATAAAATCAAGAGCAAACATGACACTTGCTATCAACAGTCTACTCAGAGTGCTGTGCTAAGCATTCACAGACACACACCCCATAAATAGGTATGAGACATGAAAAGGGAGAAATAATGCTTCAGCAGACAGTATGATTGCTTAAGGAGAAAACCAAGAAAGGATCTACAAGTTATTCTAAGTTATGAAAATTACTTAAATTAAATAATATTTAAGGGATCGGCACTGTGGCATAGTGGGTAAAGCCGCCACCTGCAGTGCTGGCATCCCATATGGGCGCCGGTTTGGATCTCTGCTGTTCCACTTCCGATCCAGCTCTCTGCTATGGCCTGGGAAAGCAGTGGAAGGTGGCCCAACTCCTTGGACTCCTGCACCCGTGTTGGGGACCTGGAGGAAGCTCCTGGCTCCTGCGTTCAGAGGGCCGCAGCTCCAGCCACTGCGGCCAACTGGGGAGTGAAGCAGCGGATGGAAGACCTCTCTCTCTCCCTCTCTCTCTCTCTCTCTGCCTCTCCTTCTCTCTCTGTGTAACTCTAACTTTCAAATAAATAAATAAATCTTAAAAAATAATATTTAAAAGAAAAAGGTTTAATATACATTGGAAGTGACTGGTTAGAAAATTTAATTTTAAGTTATTTGCAATAGCAACAGAATAAGAAGATCTGGGAATTAACCTAACAAAAAATGGTACAAGGTTTATAGCAAAATGTTATAAAACTTTGAAGGATCCTGAAGAGACAAATAAATGCAATGACATTCTGTATTATTCAGATTTCTCCAGAGAAACAGAAAGATTTAGATAAAGATATCAGTGTAGATATATAGACAAAGACAGAGATAGAGATATAGACACAGAAATTATTTAGAGATATAGTCAGCCCTCCAGACCCACTAGTTCTGCATCCTCAGATTCAACCTTCAAAATCAAACATCTAAAAAAAAGGATCTGTGCTGAACATGTACACACATCTTTCCTTGTCTTTATCCCCTAAACAATATAGTATAACTACTTTTTACATATCACTCATATTTCACTTGGTATTATAAGTAATCTAAAGAATACTGGAGTTTGTGCATAGATTATATGTAAATACAAGGACTACAGCATTTTATATAAAGGTCTGGAACATCCATGAATTTTGGTATTCATGAAGTTTCCTGGAAGCCAGTCTCCCACAAATAACAAGGAATACTGCACATATGCACACACACTACACACTGTGTGTGTGTGCAGGTTAGTGACTCACATAATTATGAAGGCTGAGAAGCCCTACAATCCGCTGTCTAAGCTGGAAGCCCAGGAAAGCCAGTGGTGTAGTTCAAAGGCCTGAGAACCAGGGAGCAGACGGTGCAGATCGCACTGAGCACCTGCAGGCCTGAGCACCAGGAGCCACAGGGCAGAGCTGGACGTTTCACTTCAGGCAGTTAGGGGGAGCCAGTGGATACTCCCCTCCTCTACTTGCCCTGAGGAAGAAAATCCACTTTAGTCCATCTACTGACTCAAATGCCCACCTCTTTTGGAATCATCCTCACAGACACACTCAGAAATACCATCAAGCAGACAGCTGGGGATCCTGTGATCCAGATGAGGTGACTCGTAAAATTAACCATCCCGTACACTGCCTTCGCTCTCCCCTGTTTATCATGGACCCAAGGCAATACCGATGAAAATCTCAATGGTGTTTTATATTGAATTTGTAATTTGTAATTTGTTTTATATTGAATGTGTAAGAGGAAAGGGACAATAATGGCCAAGACTTTCTAGAGAAAGATCGAGGTGCCTGAGTGGTGATACAGATGAGGTTCAGGTATTTGCCATTCCATGTATCAAGACTTACTATAAAACACAGTAATTGAGACAGTGGACTGTTGAGTGATGATAGATAATGTGGGACAGAATAGACATAACATAAATAGCCTATTCGAAAAACAAACTAACTGAAAACACCTTGATATATGACTATGGTAGCATGGTAGACCCGTGCAGAAAGGATGGGCTGTTTAACCACCTTAAAACAACTAGTTATCCAAATGGAAAAAAATCTCACAGATGCTAGCACCCACTACAAACAAAAGTCAACTCCATTATGCATTAAGTGTTTTCAGATGAAATGTGTGTAGCTTGTCTGAAAAATCTCATTTACACTTCTAACCAGAAAATTGAGACCATGGGGCCAGCATTGTGGTATAGTGAGTAAAGCCACTGCCAGCAACTCCAGCACCCCATACAGGTGCTGGATCATGTCCCAGATGCTCCACTTTTGATCCAGCTCCCTGCTAATGGTCTGGGAAAAGCAGTGGAAGATGGCCAAAGTGTTTGGGCCCCGGCCACCCATGGGGAAGACCTGGATGGGGCTCTTGGCTCTGGCCTGGCCCAGCCCTGGCTGTTGCAGCCATCTGAGTGCTGAACCAGTGGATGGAAGATCTCTTTGTCTCTCCTTCTTTCTCTGTAAATCTAACTTTCAAATAAATATCTAAATTTATAAGAAAGAGAGAAAGGGGGGAGGGAGGAAGGAAGGGAGGGAGGGAGGGAGGGAGGGAGGAAGAGAAAGAAAAAGAAAATTGAGAAGAAACAAAAAGGCTAGAGTAAGAGATAAAGCTCACTTACTCTCCACCCTTTCTAGGGTATACTAATTTGCTCTTACTGCCATAACAAATTAACACGAATTGAGCAGCTTAGAACAACATAAATGTTAACAAATGCATCACAGCAGAGCTCTACAAGGTCTTAAGCCTGGTTTGAGTCCCTTCCTGACACCCAGCACTAACCTAATAACTGGAACAAATGAGCTGAAATCTAAGCATTAGCAAGGCCATGTTCTCTCTGGAGACTCTAGTGGGGAGTCTGCTTCTAACAGGTCGTTGGCATAATTCAGCCACCTGCAGCTGCAGAAACAAAGACCCACGTCCTTGCTGTCAGCGGAGGGCCATCCTCGGATGCTGGAGGCTGCTCATATTCTTGGGCTTGTAGCCTCTTCTCTTCTTCAAGGCCAGAAATGCAGGGTCAATTCCTCTAACGTCTCAGTGCCACTGCCTTCTCTGCTACCAGATCTCTAACTCTCCCGCCTTCTTCCATGTTTACCTCCCCATCTGTATTAGCCTGCTTTTCATCACTGTAACAGCACCGAGGCAAGCCACTTACGAGGTTTATTCAGGTTTTTTAGAGACTCAAGTGCTTGGCTCCCCTTTGCTGAGGAGCCATGGTGATGGACTGTAACACGGGGAGCAGTTACAGGAGCAACTGATCACATCTCAGAAAGCCAGAGAAAGCCAAGCTCAGACTTTCACAACAATTACAAAAACTAACTGGGTCCCCACAAGAAATACCTTAAACTCTTCAAAGAGCACATCCCCAGTTGGCCAAGGACCTCCCACTAGGTCCCACTACCTCGACACAACCACACTGAAGGACAAGCTTCCAACACTTGGACCCTTTTGGAGGACAAATCACATGTAAACCACAGATGGCACCATCGCAAGGTCTCTGACACTAATCACACCTGCAGAGCCCCTGTGCTGTGTCATGGAACGCTCACAGGCTCTGGGGTCAGGACAGGCTCATCTCCGGGGATCCTACTCTGCCGGCCACACAGGGAACCTGAGGTTGTCCCGTGTTTGCACTACCGTCGTGTGCAGCATGTACATCCGCACACAGCGCCTCAGCCCTACAGGCAGCGTGGAGCAGAGACCAAGCAGGAAACATCTCCTGTCTTCTCAGGTTCCTTCTGCCTACCTGTATTTCATTCTTGGTTTTCCTTGCCAGCATGTATGGGACTGAAGCAGACAGGAAGAAGAAAAACTGACTTCCTGACACCCAACACTAACGTAATAATTGGAACGAATGTGTTTACTTACTCTTGAACTGTTTAGGAGGAGATCTAGAAGAAGAGGGGGAAAGTGGGAGCAAATGTAAACCATGGAGGGAAAACAGCAGCACACTGCGCCCAAATTAAGAAATCAATCCAAGATTTCCCATGCGAGCGGAGGAAGAGCCTCGTCCACGGAGTCATTTATGTACCATCCCCAGTGCTAGATACTCCCAGAGCCTCTGAACTCGTCAACCATGTCGCACAGGTGCATGGTTACTCCCTGTTAAGTGAAGCAACTGGGGCTCAACGTGATGGCCATTTACTCCAGGCAACAGGTGTGCTAGCTGTCCCAAGTCAAAGGCTTCTCCCCGACTTCCCCTAGCAAGGAGGCAACCTCAGGACTGGTTGCAGTCACCACTCCCTTCCCTTCGGTGTCTTGGCGTCTTGGTGGTATCTCCCTCCTTCCCGACACTGCCCTTGTTCCAGACCTCGCAGTGACGTCCTAGCGCAGGCCTGCAGTCATCCACCTTTCATGACCCCTTCACACCACGTCTCCTGTGAGGGCCTCACCCTTCGTCATCACCCAAGCTAGTTCTTGGGGCGCCTACCCGTCTGCTTGCTGCATGTTGTTCTTTTTTCCTATTTCTTCAGACCAGTTTATCGTGGTATAATTGAGATTTCATAAAAGCTGCAGTTATTTAGGTATTCAATTGAGAGTTTGGGAATAAGTCCTCTCTCTTTTAGCGCTTCAAAGGAAGCGGCTGTGGTCTCTGGATGAGTCTCCGCTAGGACTTGAGGGGCAGGGACACGGTCCGCGTCACGGCCACGCTTGGTGGTCGCAGGGAAAACAGCCGATTCACAACCTTTGCTTTAGGTCTGTGGCGGCAATCAGGCAACTCCAAAGTGTCCGCGTCAAACCGCAGCTCCTCGCCGCCGCTGAGCCCTGCCTGACTCGCCCCTGCGCGTGTCCAGCGCGGGGTCTCCTGGCCCCGGCCGGGCCCGAGGACCCGAGCCCGCACACCGAGGCCCAGCTGCGCTGCGGGGCTCGGCTCCGTGCTCGGGGGACTTCGTAGGAATAAAGGGCGGCCAAACGCCGCACGAAGCTTTCGACGCGGTACCGCGTAGCCTCAGCTGGGTTGTTAACACCGAGGCAACCTGATTCTTTATGGCGTTTACAACGTGAGCCTCGGCCTCGGCAGGGCAGCGCGACCACCGCCCGGCTGCCCGCGGCGCTCGGTGGGGCCCTTCCCGCCCGATCCCGCGCGCGCCGACGCCCGGGCGGTGAGGGCAGGGCCGGGTACAGAGGCCTCGGGCTGCTCTTGCCACGCGGGAGGGACGCATGAGACCAAACTGATTTTTTAAAAAACGCCGCCGCCGAAACGCGGTCTGACGACCGCCAGAGACTGAGGTAAAATCCCGCGCTCCCCGCGGCCGCTAGGGACCAGCCGCTTGGCGCTTCTCGCGCGGTCTCGCGAGAGCGGCCGATGGTACGGTCCGTTCCCCCCCGCCCCTCGAAAGTGGGCCCTCCCGCTCGTAGAAAAGCATTGTGGGAGGGCCGCGCGGCCTTTCCTGGGTTCCGCGCGCCGCCGGGACGTGTGGTGGCCGCTCCTGGGGCGCCGCGCCGGGGACTGGGCGCGGGGAGGCGGCCGCGGGGCCCGGAGGCTCGGTCCCCACGCCGTGTCCCGCGTTCACGCTCGCCCTCCGCGGCGGGGTGCGAGTCGGAGCGGGTGAGTGCTCGAGCCCGTGTGGACCGGGCCGCTGGTCCCCGGGCTCGCGTGTCGGCTTCCGTGAAGGCCCGCGGCTGGGGTCGGCGCGCGGGGGCCGTGTAGCCTTCGTGTTGCCCGTTCGCTCTTGCAAACTGGCGAATGTGGTGTCAAAGAAGGCGCACAGTGAATGCTTGCCAGCCTTTTCCTGCCCCTGGTGTGGTGCCTTGGGTGCGGGAGCTGCGCGAGCTACAGCCGAAAGCTGCGGCAGGGGAAGTGCGTCCCGGCGTCACCGGCCAAGAGGGGGCGCCCGAGACACGGTACTGCTCTTAATCCAGTCTTTTCTCCTTATTTTTAGGACAGCCTTCGTGAAGATTCTGGAAATCGGGACTCACAAGAGTTGTGTGAATCAGTCCTGCGGACTCTGAAGAGCACTAAGATGCGTGCCTGTGGACAGCCGGTAAATAGACAAGTTGCGAATAAAAGTTGATGTGCTTGCTAAAGCTTAGTGTTGTGAGTGGTTCGTTCCAGGAAATGGCTTCCTCCTCCCGAAGAGCTCAAAGGGAGAGTCCGTGCCGCCGCCCCCCACCCACCCACCCCCAGAAATTGTCAGCAATTGAGAGTAATTTTCAGTGGGGTAAATCCTGGACATGGACAGCCTTGAAAACTTGTGCAAGGCCTAAAGAAAAGGGATTCCTGGGGCCACTGCCTGAGGCGCCGGCATCCCATATGGGCGCCGGATTCTGTCCCGGTTGCCCCTCTTCCAGGCCAGCTCTCTGCTGTGGCCCGGGAAGGCAGTGGAGGATGGCCCAGGTGTTTGGGCCCTGCACCTGCATGGGAGACTAGGAGGAGGCACCTGGCTTTGGATCTGCGCAGCTCCATCTGTAGTGGCCATTTGGGGAGTGAACCAAGGGAAGGAAGATCTGTCTGTCAGTAACTGTCAGATAGAGAGGGTCCTTTTTAAAAAAGTGACTCACGTGCTAGCTAGAGCTAGAAAAGTTGATGCCTGGGCCACTGTGCACCTACCATTAGCCCATGTTGTGCCTTTACTTGGCAGGAAAGAACAAAGTGCTTAGGCATTCAAAGAAATTTATTGAAAACATGACTAAGCTGGGAACACAACGGCAAAACACGACATAGTTCTCTGGAAGCTTAACGCTTAGTGGAGGGAATAAAGCCACAGATGAGAAACATCCTTGAATGAGATAAGGCCCGTGATGGGACCCGACAGGGAGACCTGAGAGCAGGGCTGAGATGCATGGGATCGGGTCTGCAAGGCAGCTGAGGGAGTGTGTGGGCTGAGTCCACTTTGTCAGTTTTGGCTGCTTTTCCTCTGCGTTCCCTGGGCTAGACTTGAGTGCTCAGTGAGGTTCATGACCTGGTGTGGTGGCCAAATGAAGCTGAAGAGGTAGGTCCAGGCCAGGCTGCTTAAGGCTTTATTAAAGCAAGGAATGAAAATCTAGAAAGATCAGAGCCAGCAGGCTAACTGGCCACTGCGGTCGGCTAAGCAACACATGGCCAGCTTAGGCCAGGGGGTGGTGAAGTAAGATTGAAACTAGAGCACAAAGCCAAGACCTGAAAGTGGCCCTTGGGCTACTAGGCAATGTCCAGCTTGCACACTTGCAAGTACAGTGGCTCTGAATTCCTGGGCCTGAGGTTTGAGATTCCAGTAATTAACAAAAAAAAAAAAGTGGAGCTGCAAAGCATGCTCCCAAGAGCAGAAGCCAAATGAGGTTCCATCAGGCAGGCCACAGACGGCTGCAGGAAAGGCCTAACTGGAGAGAGCTATAGACAAGGACTGCCAAGAATGAGGGAAATGGTAGTGGCTAGAGGGATGTGTGGTTACATTTAAAACCATGTAGCAGTCCTGCTGAGAACAGGTATGAACACAGAGAACAGACCAGTAGAGCCGGCTGGGGCTGGGAAGTCAGGGTTGCCGGCAGCTTTGGTGAGGGCGATGGGTGTCCTACCTGAGCACTCTTTCTCACCTGTAGGCGGCAGAGTTATCTGGACAGGAAACCTGCAAGTCTCTGCAGAGGGCAGGCAGGTAGAGAAACCATTTGAAGCTGAGGGGCAGAGGTTATCTGAAATTCACACTTAGTTTTTTTTTTGAGAACACAAGGACACTTTAGAAATTAAAAGCAATACTTAAAAAATTTTACATATTTGTAAATAACCAGTGAACTCAATGCCACAACATACAGCATTACAGAGAACTTAATGTACGAATACAATGTCTGCAGTCCATCCGATGCCTCTGATGGCATCTGGCCTTCCTGCCACTGGGCGTCCTGCTGCCTGGCAAGCCGGGTGCAGCCCAGGGTTCCAGCACAGTCGAGCTTCTGGCCTGGCACAGATGGCAGACGCCGGCGCTCAGTGGAGTGGGGGTTTTCCTGTTCGGGAAGGAGCGTGTGGCACCCAGGGGGTTTTTGAAGACTGCTTTCCTTCCAGTTAAGACACAAGTCCTTCAGCACAAGTCTGCTGCCCTTCACCCTAGAAGAGGAGAGGCGAGCGTCCTCCGGCTGCAGAAACCTTTGCAGGTCTGAGGTGTCCGGATGAAGCCCAGTTTCACAGCTTCCAGCACCAGTGGCGCACACACCCTTCCCACGGGCCTGGCCCTCCACCAGCATCAGCTCTCTGTCTTGAGGCGGGAAGCTTGGATAGTCTTTATTGTTTTTGCTGGGTGTTTTCCAGCCAGGTTGCTTGTAGACGTTTGAGATTTTTCTTCAATCAGGCTATCTTTAGACCCATTTCTTCGCTGAAATGAGAAAAAGATTCAGAAGAACAAAATAGACAAGTGTATTTTCATAGTTATGACATCAAATTATAACCATGCAAAGTTAATTTCAAAAGATTCAACAAATACTCTCATTAATTGCAAAACAAGCAGTCTGACAGTCACATGCAGGACACCCCGAAACTTCTGTTATTGGGTCCTTGGTATTTCCAGAGGTAGCAGCCCCAAGGATGGCTGGCGACCTCCCAGCAACCCCAGCAGATGAGGCTACTGGCTATACTCGAAGAGGGCAGCCTCACATGTGATGGGCGGCACTGTCCCTCTTAAAGAAGCAATCTTCTGTCTGTGCTATGACCAGCATAATCTGTCCAGGTCAGCCTAGGCACACTGGGGAGGGAGGCAGGAGGATCAGAGACGCAGTGGGAAATGTGTGGGTTCCCTGAGCTGCCTTCTGCATAACAGGGAAAGTGAGGTGCAGGCCCACCAGTGTCGTCACGTGGCTCCTGCCCCTGGCCACAGCACCTACTCACGGCAGCCAAACTGCTGCCTCCTTTTGGCACTTGGACTAAAAGTCCTGGCCTGTGGGTCCTGTGTCCTCTGCGCTGCCCAGCACCAGCTCTCCTGCCTCTGGGTTCTGAGCCACACAGCCAGCTACCCAGGCCTGGGTCTCAGCTTCCTGTGCTGCTTTCTGGGAGGGTCTCTGACTGCCCTGTGTGCCTGGAGTGAGCCCACTCTGCCCTTGCAGGCCATGGATCTTCATCAGCTCAGCTGGTTTGATTATTCTGTTTCCTTTTATAGACTACGTGTGTAGGCCAGGGTCAGCAAAAATTTTTTGCAAAAGGCCAGATTCTGGGCCACATCCTGCCCGTCACATATTAATGACAGTTTAAGTAACCATTCTAAAAAACTGCTGTTGAGTCCAGCTGTTAGCTGATGCAGACCCCGGGAGGCAGCAGGTGATATCTTCAGTGATCGGGTCCCTGCCACCCACATGAGAGATCTGAGTTCAGGCCCTTGGTCAGCGCAGGCATCCTGGGAGTAAACCAGTGGATGGGGCGCTCTCCGCCTTTCAAATTAAAATAATAAAGTGAAAACCACTACTTAGCTGCCAGACTGCACAGAAACAGGCAGCAGACATGTGACCCAAAGGCCAGCCTGCCACCTCCTGAGACCAGAGCGCATCTGTTCATCTGGAATCAGGCACGTCCCAGAGTTGATGCCACTGATGAAGACACCGCTCTGGGCTGTTCTGTGCAGCAGAGAGAGCTAGTCTCCCAGCACCGAGTGTGTCTCGTTTACCTGTCTAGACTCTGAGTGATGCTGGATCTAGAGTAGTGGGAAAAGCAAATTTACCTGAAGTTTGTGTTGAGGCCAACTTAAATGGAAGACTAACCTGAAAGTTAACAGGGCTTATTAACCACCACATTAAGCCTAAAGCATGTAAGTTACAGGTAAAGAATGGAGGCTCAGAAGGAACGCACTCCAGGCCACAGAAGTGTAACCTGGGAATGAGGCGAGACGTACAGGTGCAGGTCTGAATGCAAAGTCTAAGCGTCAGTCCTGGAAATGCATCTGAAGAGGTGCTATCAGCACTGAGTAGACACCTGCTGTTTTCTCCAGGATCCAGTCCTTCATGTGCCGTGCAGGCTGGTCAGCTGCCTTGCCCACTGCTCAGATGGGCACTTTGAGCTCAGGTGTCCCTTCCTTCCTCCAGTCTTTGGTCACGACTGTGCTCTTCCCAGCAACTGCTCTGGCTGGAGAGAGCCACCCCACCTCACCCAGAGTCAGCCGTCTCCCAGGAGTGCCCCTTTGCCAACAACAGCCACTTGGTGAGTGTGGCAAGTTGAGGCCCGACCTTCTAGTCTCGCCATGGACTCAAGGGTAGTCTCAGTTCCAGTGTCCCCCGGGGGTCAGCCCGTGACTCCCCTGGGACTCCCCTCCACCCACACCAGCGTCCGCTGCGCAGCACCCATTCCCAGCAGGCTGCCGCGAGTGACTCTCCATCTCCCAATCTGGTCCTAGGGAACCTACGCTACACTGAACCAGCACGCGCTCTTTTTAACGGCCCTTGCTCGAGTCACTGGGCAAGCAAAGGGCGTCAGAGCAGACACCGCCGGCCGGATGCTCACCCAGGTGGCCATGAGCTGCCCAAACTTGCCTACAGAACTGCCCGTGCTCATACATCTGTATAGGCAGACACGGGAGCCGTGACTGAATTTCCACAGGATCCGCAGTCCAGACGATGAAACCCCAGCACTGCACACAGTGGGCTGACCCTGTTCAGTCAATGTGTCACCGGCATTATGGGATGGCTGTTTAGGCAGGCGTGAAGCCACCTACCTGCTTCATTCAACCCCCATTTTTTCCATCTTAACTAAAAAATGCCCCATGAGAGATGACGTCAGACACCGGGCTGGACACGTGAGCTACAGCACTGCCTGGCCCTGTTCACTGGGCTCTAGGTTCATTCTGTTCAGGCAGCAGTGCTGCTCTGCTGTGCCCCCGACGGCCCTCCTTAACCTCGTCTTTAAACCTTAGAATCCTGGCTCTCCTGGCCTTGGCCTTGCCCGGGCTTTGGACCACTTTAGACCCCACCCCACGGCCAGCTCTGCTCTAGGGGGTGCCCTGGTTCTGGATCCTACACGTCCTGGTAAAACATTCTGGGAGGGAGCGAGTCACGAGCGCAGCTCTCCAGAGCTCAGAGGCCCCTCAGCCTGCAGCCTGTGGCCTCCCGGACGTCTCGGCACCCACCTGATGAACCGTGGCGCCTCCAGCACCCTGAGCGTCCGAGGAGCGCGTCACCGGCAGAGGCGGGACCAGGTCTGTCTTTGCACTACAGAGAGAGTTTTAGGGGTACCAGAATCAGAATCCAAGCAGGAGCAGGGCTCCTGGGCAGATACAGAATGCTCTGGAAAGTTCTTTCAGACTGGGCTGCTCTGCAGCCACCAGGGCACGGACGTGCTCAGGGCTGCCCACTTACTTGACCTCTGAGAGAACCGACCGCTCTCCATCCGAACACTGGGACCGGCGGTACTGGCGGTGACTCCGTGGCGAATGTGAGTGCCTGATGCGGACGGGGTCACCCTGAGTCCTGAAGGGACAAACAAACCCCGCGGGCGTCAGAGCAGAGCAACGGGCAGCTCCTCCTTCCCTGGACTGAACCACAGAGGAACCCCCGCTTCTAGAGGCATCTCACAATCCAACCCAGCCTTCGAGGCTCCAACGTCACAAGGTAACGAGAGGAGAATGCACCTGTGACCACGCATGAGAGCGGAGCTCTGCACAGACCCTGTATGCACAGGTGTGTGTATTCACGGAGCCCCCAAACTTCAACTGAGGTAATTCTGCCAGTGGCCTGGGAGGAAGGGCCGCAATGCAGACGCGAAGCAGCTGATCACTGGCCTGTCTCAGGAACTTAAGCTTTGCTTGAAAATTGCCTGGAGAGTAGATGTTAAATATTCTCACCACACATACACACGCACGGGCAGCTGAGGTGATGAAGCGGTAGCTTAATTCCATGGTTTCAAAATGTACACATCAGAACGTGTCATGCGCCATCACTATGTGTGGCTGCTGTACTGACAGCTAACAATAACAAAGTTCAGTCTCTTGCCTAAAGATCCGGGGGTGCCAGGGAAGGCTGGGCTGGGACGCAGCAGGGGTGCAGGAGGGGAGAGCAGTGAGCAGGCCCTCACCCTCTGCACCCGGACGGCAGGACGGAGGGCACACAGCTGTGCTGCAGCCACCCTAGCCGCTGACAGGGTCCCGCTCTGCTGTCAGGAAGCCTCATCAGCCCTGTGACCTCCCGCATGACAGGCACCGGCCTGGGCTGATGTCGCGGGGTTTTGTGGTAAACAGTTCTCTTGGTGTTAAAATAATGAGTACAAATAAAGTTTGTAACTAATCACTAAAAAATAATCTCAATTTAATACTGACAATCACCAAATGCCCTCCTGCACCTATCATGGACAAATGGGCGGCTAACAGTCGGCTAACAGGCTCGGTGGTTGTCATTGGTGTCGCCCCACCTTTCCTACCTCCCTCCCAACACTCACTGACAATTTTAGTTAACAACTGAAACTCCAAACACGGCACGAGCACACCGGAGGGTCCGAGCGGACACTCAGCACTAGAAAGCTTTTGGGGGAAGACTCAGAACCAGACTCACTCCACTTTAGTGTAGGGGATCTCCTTCAGTTGCTCTTCCGATAAGCCAGAAGGGTCCACGAGCTCCTTTCTGGAAGGAAATCAGAGTACAAGTCGCGACACTGGCACACACCTCTCACCATCTACAGGTGCGTTTTCCTTCTCCCACCTTGTCCGAAACACAATGTTTGCAAAACAAATAGAAATCTAAGCCAAGAATAAAGAGGTCAACCTTGAATCCCCTTGACCCCTCCTGCCTTTTTCCCACTGTTCCACATCCAGACCCCAGCCACCCCCACTTCCCTGTGAAACGCTTGCTTCTCTGCCCTGCCTGGCTGTCGTTGCTTCTGCATTTAATTTTCTTGAGGTTCACTTGTAAGTGTCTGGCTGGAGACCTGTGAGCAGGTGAGCCACATGGCCTCAGGAGAGGCACCAGGGCTGCCTGTAGGTGCTGCCAGCCTGGTGAGGCCACCCCGCCAGTGCCACAGAATGACGAATGAGACGCAGCTCCCTCCCCAAGGACAGGTCTCTCTTGCAACTGTGTTAAAACTCTGGGCTTTAAGCAACAGGAAGAGAAAGCGGTACTCACTGGATATGCTTCCATAACTCTTCTTTTGCTTGGATGTCAGGACTTCTCCTGCAATGGAGAAAACAACACTCATCACCCACCACGCTCCCAGCCAGCTGGCTTCCTCTCCAGCCGGGCCTTTCTCATCCGCAGCCCCAGACGAGACGGGGAGAGGCTGGGCCGGGGGAGCTTCGTGGAGGCTGGCATAGAGACAACAGGTATTCTTTCTACAGCCATACTAGCGCTGTGTCCAACACAAGCGCTCAGAGCTGCGTGTGGCCACCGTGCGTCCATCCAGACTCCATGACTCTGAGAAGCCCAGCACTAGCTGTGACTCGCCAATAGAAGCAACAGCCACAAGAGAAGGCAACCAGTGGGGTGCCACGTGGCAGCTCGTGAGCCCGGGGTCCAGCTCCCATGTCCCATCTGACAGTGCATTTCTGTAGCACTACCTGGGCTCCAAATGTTGGAGGTCACCTGGCTTCTGCTCATGCTGCTACTCTGTCTCCTTAACTGTCAACCCCACAACCCCATAAATCCCTTCCCCAGGAACTACTGGAGAGGAAACTACACCTCTATGCTTCAACTTCTTAGAATAAGAAATCCAGGGGCTGGCGTTGGGGTACACAGGGCTAAAGTGATGTTTGGGACTCCTGCATCCCATATGGGACCGCCAGGTCGAGTCCCAGCTGCTCTACTTCTGATCCACCTCCCTGCTAATACACCTGGGAAAGCAGGGAAAGATGGCCAGGTACTTGGGTCCCTGCCACTCATGTGTGAGGTCCGGATGGAGTTGTAGGCATCTCCTTTGGCCTGGCCCAGACCCAGCCACTGTGGCTACTTGGGGAGTGGCTGGAAGATTTCTGTGTGTGTGTGTGTGTAAAACTCTGCCTTTCAAATAAAATAAACATTTTTTAAAAAGAGTGAGAACCACTTAGCCAGCATTCATTAGCTCATACTCTCCCTGGCATTAACCATGACTCCCCAGTGTGGCAGTAAATACCAGGGATCTATTATCACCGCCTCCTTGCCACACAATGATTTCCCCTCCCTAGTGAGAACATGATCGGCTTCCACCAGTGCCTTCAAGAGAACAGGGGTCTAAACAACAGTCCCAAGGAAAGACCCAGACCCCAGCAATGAAAATGCCCAGAGCAAGCTAAGCCAATGACGCTCTGGGGCTTCACCCCAGGAATCTGCCCGGCACGGGGGCTCCAGAGCACTGGCGGCACGCGCCACCGTCTCCCTCAGTTCATAAAGGCACCACTGAGGTGTTCAGTTAGTCCTTCTGAGTCGAAGGAATACAATAAGCTACTTTCTGGCCACTGAATCAACAAAGTGGGTTTTCCTCTGTGGGGAAAAGAAACCTGTCTAAAGAACTCTCAATCAACTCGACAGTCAGAGCATGGAAGCGGGGTAGGGGATAAGACCTGGGTCTCATTGTTCAACACTGATTTTGTTTTTGTAGGAATAAAACTGCATCTTTGGGAGGATTTCCTGTGTGGAATCTGCTTTTCCCACATCTCCTGGATTCACGAGACAGTACATCAACCCATTCACTGGATGACACAGTCAGAGAAGGCACTAACATTAAAAAACCCAGGGAGTCACTCGGACCCAAGCCAACGAGGGCTCAGTGGAGATACCAGATCTGACCTGGTCAGCTCAAAGTGTTACACAGCATAAGTTAACAGCCTTCTCAGTGGCACAGTGAGCTAAGCCGCCCCCTGCGATGGTGGCATCCCCACTTGGGTGCTGGTTCAAGTCCCTGCTGCTCTACTTCCAATTCAGCTCCCTGCTACTGCACCTAGCAAGTCAACAGCCCTGCCACTCACATGGGAGATTCAGATGGAATTCCTGGCTCTGGGCCTGGCCCAGTCCTGGTCGTTGAGACCATTTAAGGAGTAAACCAGCAGATGAAAAATCTCTCACTCCTTGTCTCTTCCAACCTCTCTGTAACTTTGCCTTTCAAAGAAACAAATCTTAAAAGAAAAAGGAGGGCCAGCGCTGCGGCTCACTAGGCTAATCCTCTGCCTGTGGCGCCGGCACCCTGGGTTCTAGTCCCGGTTGGGGCACCAGTTCTGTCCCGGTTGCTCCTCTTCCAGGCCAGCTCTCTGCTGTGGCCCGGGAGTGCAGTGGAGGATGGCCCAAGTGCTTGGGCTCTGTACCTGCATGGGAGACCAGGAGGAAGCGCCTGGCTCCTGGCTTCGGATTGGCACAGCACGCCGGCCGCAACGCACCAGCCGTAGCGGCCACTTGGGGGGGTGAACCAACAGATAAAGGAAGACCTTTCTCTCTGTCTCTCTTTCACTGTCTAACTCTGCCTGTCAGGAAAAAAAAAAGATAAAAAAAGAGGCTGTTCCACTGACAATCATTCTTACTTCAGGAAGGTGCAACAGGGAGGCAGGGTACTTGCTGTCTCAGGCTGTATGAGGGTCTCTCCCCCTCAGTGCTGCTGGCTTGAATAAGGCTTTCTGGAGGCACTGTCCTGTGCACTGTGAGACGCCCGATGGCACCGAGGCCTCTACCCACCAGGTGCCAGTAGCAAAGCCCAACACTACCACCCTGTGACAACCGCAAACGTCTTCAAGCGTAGCAGGATGCCCATGGGGGGTGGGGGCCTTTCCCTGGGTAAAAACACCAGTCAAGGGAGGCCTTGGAAGTCAGCGGCCAAGGCTAAGTGGTGGAAGGGAGGGGCCAAGTGCTTGTCTAGATCCATTTCTGAACACTGAGGTGTCCTGGGAGTGAATGACCTGAGACAGGAACTCAGCCTCAGCAGAATGGGGAGCGTGTGCCAGGGCGTGGCTGACGCTGCAGGAGGAGCGTGTGCCAGGGCGTGGCTGGCGCTGCAGGAGGAGCGTGTGCCAGGGCGTGGCTGACGCTGCAGGAGGAGCGTGTGCCAGGGCGTGGCTGACGCTGCAGGAGGAGCGTGTGCCAGGGCGTGGCTGGCGCTGCAGGAGGAGGGGTGAGATTCAGAGCCGAATGCTCCCTCAGGGCGACAGAGAAGGAGCACACGTGATGAGGGCCAGCAGGGCAGGAGCCCCAGGACCACCACCCCTGGCCCAGCGGGAGACCTG